CGGGGGATGGGCGGCCGCCCCCTCCCACCTCCACCTACCTGCGGCTGCTCTGCTGCTCCGCGGGCGGCGGCTCGGGCTCGGCACCGCGCTCTTATAGGCGGCGGCGGGCGCGGGCCCTATGTAACCCCCGGCACCGCCCGGGCCGCCGCACTCCGCCGCGCCGCGCAGGTGAGACCGGGACACGCGGGACACGACCGGGACACTGGACGGGGTCAGTGCGGGGACGGGGACACCGCCTGCKGGGGACGGGGTCMRTSCGGGGMCGGGGACACGCGTGGCACCGCCTGCGGGGGGGATCGGGACACGCGTGGAGCGCCTGCTTGGGGGCTCTAAGGAATCCGCCTGTGAGGGGAGATTTGGGGGATCGGGGACGCGCGTGTCCCCGCTTGCGTGGAGAAAAGGGAGGGAGAAGGATTTGGGGATTCGCAAGTCTCTGCCTGCGGCGGGGGGACTGAGGGATCGGGGCCACGCGTGTTCCCGCTTGCACGGAAGCTGCGGGACACCCCTGCCCCGCTCGGGGACGCGGCAGTCGGGGCCATACACGCGCTGCTGTTGTCACTCGTGGAGGCGACAGGGGCTGGCGCTGCTTCTCCTTTCTCCTGCTGCGGGGACGCTTTGGGATGGGGCCGTGCCGTGGGGACGGACGGGTCGGGCCGTGTYCCCAATGTCGCTGCCCGTCCCGAGGGCTGGGGGCTCCGGGTGATGCGTGAGAGGGTGGGATGGGGCCGTGCGTGTCCTCACCTGCAGGGTGCGGTGGAGCCTCGCACAGAGCAGGCACAGATGGGGCAGAGCGGGTCCCTGCGTGGAGACACCGCAGGGACAGGCGGGCATCCCTCATGTCCCTCCAGGCGACCGAGTCCCCGCTGTGCTCCGGGCCCTGGGGGCATCAGCTGGAGACCCTGCTGGCCCCTGTGTGCAGGGTGTCTGTGGAGTGTGAGCACGTCTGGGATTCTCTGGAATCCCGGGTGGGGAGACGGAGCCTTTTCTGAAATCCCAGGAGCGAGTGATGCGTGGGGGAAGGCAGCAGCCCCCGAGTGTGTCCCACCAGCACTGGGAACAGATGGAAATTTGCTGTGACTCACAAGAACCGTAGGGATCAGGCGTCTGGAATGTCTTGGATCCACTGTCCTCTCTCTGTGACCATACTCAGGTTCTGCACTGGGGCTGATGACCTCGCAGGATGCTGCTGTGTTCCACAATCCCAGGACACTTGGAGGCTGAAGCCCTTGCTTTAGGGGAGCCAAATCTTCTGGGACCAGGTGGAACAGGAGGTCCTCGCTGTGTGGAAGWTGTGTGTTTGCACTATCTGACACATGGTTTTTGGAGGGGTGTGAAACTCCAGGCTTTGACTGGGCACCGGGATCCTCTCTGATGGGACAAGACATGGCTGAAAGCTGAATTTCACCAGATGCAGAGGGAGGGAAGGACTTTTAGAAGGTGGCCCAGGGCATCTATGGAAAAGCAAAGTCTGGGAGGGGCCATCAGTACAATATTTCTGGAAAGCAGATAAGGCTGTGGAACTAACCCACACTTGCTGAGCTTTCCCTCARCAAGCTGCACCATGGGCTTCCAATGTCAGGCTGCAAGAAAAGGTCCATTTTGGCAGAAAAGACCCTCAGGCGTCTGTGGTCCAACTTAGTTTTTTGGAGCAAGATTGCCACTGTTACTGCATCACATTGGCTGTGATCCAGACTGGAAAACCTCCAAAGTCTTAGACTGATAAGGCAGTAAGTGGATTTTAATTGCTGGGTATGGACACATAAAGGGTTCGCGAGAACTGGTGTCTCATCTCATGGCTTGGGATAAAAACAATACCCAAATCTGAGGAAAAGGGTGGTGTGCTTGGTGAGAGAAGGAATTTTAACGTGCTTGTTCTGCTGGAACTCTATGAGAAGAGCTGGTAATGTGTAAGACAGATTTTCTTAAAGTTTTAATTAAAATAATGAAAAAATATTAGAACCGTCACTTTGGATGTGACAGAGTGGTAAAGGAAAAGCTGAAACCTGTACTTTGCTGAGTCCTTTGGCAGCACAAAACTCTTCTGAAACAGTGCTGGTCTTTGGATACACACTGAAACAGCAGGAAAGACCCATATTTGGTGGAAAACCCTGTCTTGGAATTAAATTTAGTTTTGGCATTTCTGTGCATGGAAAGGCAATGACTGTAAATCATTTCACTGTTCAGGGATGGGGATTCCCCTCCTCTGCCAGGTTTCTTGCCTGGGATTTTAACGGTTCAGCTCCCAGTGATGAAATCTGCTCTGGATCCAGGGCTTTTGTGGAAAGGGAGGTGATAAAACATCGTGAGAGAGTCTAGTCAGGAGGAGTGGCCGTCAGGCTAGCTCAGAGGGGATCAACCTGTCTTGTCTGCAGCTCTTGCACTCTTTGGGATGTCTGAGTGTGTGCTGGGGCTTCTCCATTGTGTTCACAGCTGGATWTTGCTTGGATGGGTCAAGGCCAGAAAAATTCCCAGCTGAAATGTGCCTTTTTCTGCAAAGAAGGGCTTTCTGTGATGGAGCTGGCGCTGCTATGGGTCTGTAGCTGGAGTAGCCCAAGGCAGGGCCACTGGTCCTGCTGGAGCAGGAAGGTGTTCTCAGGTCAGCTGACACATCCTGACACAACTTGCCCATGGTGACAAGATCTCACACGACCCCTGTCAACTTCCCACAGCCCAAACTGGGAGACACTGCTGGCAGATGATGGCAGAGGCAGCAGCAGAAACTGCAAAACTGCAAAAAAGAGCTGAGGTTTTGGTCTGTGCACGTTCCCAACCTCCAGTTCCCTCTCTCTCCTCTGCATTTGCAGGTCCCTGCTCCCAAAGACCCAGMGGCTGATGTGACAACCTGCAGCGATGATCTGGAGTTTGGTTGTGGTTCTGGTGGGGACATGGACTTTKGGTGGTAAGTGTGGTTTCGGGGAAGGGAACCCAAGGGGAGATCCTCGATAGCTGATTGTCCCTTGGGGGAATTTCCTCTGACCCAGAGGGCATCRTRTCAGAGCAGCCTCATCTAGKGGAAGGTGTCTCTGCCCATGGAAGGGTAAATGAAAGCAGGTGATGTTTTGGTCCCTTCCAACCCAAACCATTCTGTGATTCTGTGATTCTGTGATTCTGTGATTCTGTGATTCTGTGATTCTGTGATGCAGTTTTTGAGGAGATAAAAAATTGGAGCAAAGTGCAGGTTGAGAGACTGCCCTACTGCAGTTGAGACGAGTACGCAGCTTATAATCAGGAACTGGAAGTCTTTGCTAGTATTAGAAAAGTAAAAAATAATAACAATTAATAAAAATTAAGAAGAAGGAAACAAGACTGATGTTGACACAAAAGCACAACTGCAGTGCCAAGGTCTTTCCTTGACTCACATGGACATTGTAGGAGTCAGAAGGTGAGGTCTCTGATYCTGTGAGAGAGAAGGAAAAAAGGAATGTCTTTTGGGATTAGACTGGTGGAGGCCACAGATTGATCTGGAGACATCAGGACCACATGAATTTCTAATTTTAGCTATTATCCCTCAAAAGTAATGCAAAACTTATCTAAAAAACTGTATTTAGAAAGTTTCAGAAAGAATATGGGAAAAGATCACAATATAAATATAATTCCCTAGTGGAGAAGCCTGTTTCATGCTTTTTTCTTGCTGCTCACCAATGGGTCTGGTCTCTTCCAGGAGCGCAGGAGAGCATCTCCTGGGAGGTGCAGCGCTACGATGGGTGGTACAACAACCTGCTGCACCACAGCCACGGCTCCGTGGGTGAGTGGCAATGCTGGGGTGGCACCGGGTGAGCTGTCCCTTGTGGCTGAGACAGAAATCTTTCTGAGCTGAGCCAGGGAGGTGAGCAGACAATGGCACCTCCCTGGATGCACTGAGAGCTCTGTTGGAGCCCAGGCAGCCCACACTGGCCATTGCCACTGGCAGCTGCTGCCCAGGCACAATCTGCAGACCACGCTGGGGTTGGATCAGTCCCAGAGCAAAGCTGTGCCTTTGTGAGATCACTCAGAATCTCCAGAGCAGGGAGGATCCAGCTCTTTTCGGTGTTTCTGTGATGATCAGGGATCCTAGAGCTGCAAAAAGCCATCTTTGGCCAAAATCAGCGTGCAGTTCAACCAGGATTCAACACAAGGCTGGAGAGGGAAGGATCCATAGTCCATGCTGGACCTATTGATTTTCTGCCCTGCACAGAGCTGATAGCATGCAACTGATCGGTGCTGGGAGAGGCATTTGGGATTTCCCTCTGCCAGAGGTGAACTGCTTCCTCATGCCTACAGCCTGACCATGGTCTCAGCTGTCCCTGAGCCTGGGCAGATCAGGCAGGGTCTTATTTAAAACACTGAAGATTCTGAATCCTCATTTCTGGCAGCCCAGGCTGGTCACTGATCTGGTGACACAGTGGCACAAGGTGCAGTGGCAGTCGTGCCACATCCTCTGAGTCCRAATGGCTCTCCAACATGACACTGTGTGCCACCAGCCCTTTGGCAGTACCAAARCCTGCCAGAAAAAAACAGATCTTCYTCTTCTAGAGRAGACAGATCASACCTTAATTTTTGGAAACCAGCATATGCAATCCAAGCCCCAAACTAGGGCAGGAATTCAAGATTTCCYCCAGCTCTGGGGAGCTCCAGTGAGTGGAGCCCACCACACTGGTGACAAGCCTTTCAAAGTCAGTGAGAAATGGCCTCCTTGCTCTGGTCTTTTTGGTGTTGGGACCTGCAGYACATGCAAAGTCAGGGTGTTTCTCCCTCCCCTTCACACTTGTCTTGCTGCCTCTGTGGCTGTTCCCTCTCCTGTTTCCTGTGGGGCTGGCAAACACCAACTCGTGTAGGATTACACAGTCAACGTGGGGCAGCTCAGCATTGCTTCAGTTACCACTGGAGCACCACCCCAGCCCTGCAGGAGGAAACAGGGGTGCACACAGATAAGGACAACAGGAAGAGAGGGGATGAAGGATCCCTCTGGCTTTTAATAGAACTGATCCCAGTGTCGCATTAAGTTTTGGGTGATGACACCAAAACTTGCGTGTTCTTGGCTGCTCTAAGAATCCATGCCACCCTCTCGCTCTGTTCTGGGACCTGCACACAT